CTGATTTTGATTGACTCTGATAAATTCATGGACTTCTAGAGTTATTCCAGAGTTTTGAGAATAAAAGACTTTTAGGTGGAAATATAGCTTTATATATCTTTTACCTGCTGCCAGGATGAACTGACCATCCCGGGACACTTTGATGGAGGTGCACACTGTGGGCATCTCAAAGTCCTGGATGAGTTCAATCCTGCGCTGAATTTCTGAGTAATGCAAAGAACAGAAGCGTGTGAGTAAAGACAAACATTTAGAAGGAAATCAATCCGTGTGTGAAACTGTAATTATAGCTGTCAACTCACCGACATCTTTCTTTTGCAACTGTCTCTTCTTCCTGTCCGACAGCCACTGTGTTAACAACACAAAGGTGATCAGGATTTAGCATAAAGAATAACATTCAACAACACAACTGCTTCCTCTTCTCCTAGTTTGATGGCAGGTCACAAAAATAAAGCTACATAGAAGGTAAAAAAGGTAACCTAAATAGTTAACAGGGTCAACAGTAAGAAAGCTCTCAAATGGAGCCGCAACTGTCAGGTGACATCAACGGTAACCCTTTAATAGAGAATCTGTCTCAGCGAGCAGACTGTCAGAAATTGAAAAAAGAAAACACAAGGACGTGGCTGTTTTGAATATGGAAAGAAGCATATGTATGGACTTAATCACCTTAAAAAAAGAGCAGTTAGTTATCTCAAAATTCTGTTTTTCTCCGAATGAGCTTGACATCACCACTTGGACAACACCAATATCTCAGTTGTATTCCTTGTCTTTTACTGATTCCTGGTTGAGGTGGTCCGGCTGTATTTTGTTCTCAACATGTAGAAGAAAACTTAAAAGAAGACTAAAGGTGGACTTTATTCATCATATGCAGAAAGCATCCTAATCAGATACATTAACCGTTTCAACAGGCTCCCTTAATTAATGAGCATTTTATTTTAGATTATGATCTTTTGTCTTTTTAATTTATCATTTGCTCAGTTTTACCACATTTTACTGTGTCTGTGGAGCACATTGATCTGCACTAACCTGCCTGAAAGATGCCTATAAATAAAGTTTGTAACTGCTAAATAGACATTTTAACGTTTTACCCAATTCTCATGTAGTATCTGAAATGTTAGACCTTTGATCCGTGATAATACCCAAATAATAACAACTATCGCTGCTGTAAATACAGATAAACTTTGATTAAATCTTCTGAGTATGACCTCATCTACGTCAGTGAACCTCTTCCAAGCAGCGGCAGATTTTTTCCATTTATTTATATGAATAATTTCATTAAATGGCGGTGTTAATAAGTATGAATCCAGCTATGACATTTCATTAATACAGTGTTAAGAACACTCATCTTACGGCTAGCTTGGTTAGCCGGCTATGGTGAAGGTAAGCAGTAACTTCACAGGTATGACATGAAGGACATCAGGAGCAGGAAGTGTGCTTCTTACCTCTGGAAGAGACTTCCCGTAGCTTAAATTGTAAATTTTGACATCATTCACGCTGGAAACCTGCATTGTAGAACGAGAGCATAACACTGATGCTGCTGCTACACACCGGTGAGCTGTGCTGAACCCACGTTGCTACTAGAGGCACTAGAGGAGCAAAAACAGGAAGTGGAGGTGAGTTTAGAGAAACTGGGTCCGAGTAGAAACTGCACAGACTACACAAAGTTCCGAGAGCTTGAAAAACGACCAGTTAGCTACGTTGTTTTTCACTATTTAATACACATATATAGTTATTTTTTGTATGTATCATATACCTGTTTTAACTAGCTGTGTTTAATTTAAAATGTAGTTTAACTTTAGTTAAAAATAGACAACAAAACAAAACAAAAACAGAGCATTATAAATAATTGTATAATGTATGTATTGTGATTGTAAGCCCAACAAGGGACAATGGTTGAAAATTAGCAATAGCTATAAACTTATGTGCGTTACATCAGTTTTGTGTTTTGTAATTGGACTATGTTAAACTTCACTGTCCCTTTTAAATAAATAAAACAATAGCGTATAGCGAAAGGGTTCTTCCTGTTTGTTGTTGGTAAATAACAAACTGCTGGATTCAAAAGAAAGAGAAAGCCCAGTCACATTCTCCTGTATTTTGCTGCCCTATTATGAACAATGTATTCAGTAAAGTATTCAAAGGAGGATGTCTGTGTAGGTTCTCAGTCATCCAGGCCATGGTAATCTAAGGAGCTTGGAAAGAAAACACTTAAGGAAGTCCAGTCGTTTTTCTTTCCAAGCTCCTTAGATTATTCAAAGGAAGGATGTCCAGAAGATGAAGAAAGAAGACATGTGTACTGGGAACCTAGGTACAACAAATAGAGAGGTGGTGAAGCCAAAGGAAATGGCTTACAGTGAGGTTAGGTTGGACACTAAAGAAGGAGACAATTTATAATGATTGGCTAAAGGCAGCAAGACCAATTTGAAAAGAATGTGCAACAGGTTGGAGTGATTTAAGGACAGAGATGGAAATGTACTACATGTACAAAAATGTACTACACAGGGATAAAGCTGATGAACCATACCACAGATATATGGGAAAGAGTTGCTGAAACAAGCTAAAGAAGAGAGGTGATGATCAATGAGCAGCAGTATGGCTTCCTGCTGAATAAAATCACTACAGATTTAATGTTTGCTTTGAGAGTGTTGAAGGAGAAGCATAGAAAAGGCCATAAGGAGTTGCATTGTTTCTTTGTCGATCTACATAAATAATATGATAGGATGCTAAGAGCAGAACTGTGGTACTGCATGAGGAAGCCAGAAGTGTCAGAGAAGGGCGATGCAGGACATGTATGAGGACAGTGACACTGTGGTTAGGTGTGCGGGGTGACAGATGGGTTCAAGGTGGAGGTGGGATTACATTAGGGATTGGCTCTGAGCCCATTCTTGTTTGCGGTGGTGATGGACAGGCTGACAGATGAGGTCAGGCAGGGGTCTCCATGGACTATGATGTTAGAAGACAACATTGTGATCTATAGTGAGAGCAGGTGGGAAAGAGTCTGGAGATTTGCAGTTATCCTCTGATTGGAAGAGGAATGAAAGTCAGTAAAAGCAAGACAGAATATATGTGTGAATGAGAGGGAGACAGGTAAAAAGGAGAAGCTGCTATAAGTAGAGGTAGAGAAGGTGTACAAGTGAAATACCTGGGGTCAATTCAAAGCAATGGACAGTGCAAGAGAGAGGTAAAGAAGGGAGACAGGCAGGGATGAGTGGGTGGAGATGAGTGTCAGGGGTAATTTGTGACAGAAGAATAGCAGCAAGAGTGAAAGAAAAAGTTTCCAAGATGGTAGTGAGACCTGCTGTGATGTAAGGTTTGGAGATGGTGGTACTAACAAAAAGACAGGAGGTGGCAGATCTGTTTCCATTGAGAGTGATCAGAAAGAAAAAGATTGGAAATGAGTACATCAGCGGAACAACTTAGGTCGACTATTTTGGAGATAAAGTTAGAGTCGAGATGAGGGGGAAAAAAGCTATAAATAGATATAAATTATGTTAAGTTTAATCCAATGTCTTCAAATCCGAGTCTTGATAATAGTTTATTGTTTTATACTCCTTCTTATACATCCCAGTTTCTCCTTTCCTTCCATTTCTGTGAAACCATCATCCTTTTCTTACCTATTTCCCTTTGCTATCGCCATGTTTCCTTCAATTTCTACTTGATTATATTGTTGACTTCTGTCTGAAGCTGAAAACTAAATCAATGAAAATGCTTTTTATGGCTCCTTAGCTGGAGTTTCATTTCCTTTAATGCCAAAATGTACAATCTCATAAAAATCTAGCTGTAGAGCAAAGAGTCCAGCATGTAGACTCTTTGTTTTTATAAGAGTTTAAGCACATTTCACATTTCAGTTGAATATTGTAGCCTATTTTATTCTTATTCTTCTTTTCTTATTCTTCTTATAGTTTTCATTTATAATTATACATATCTAAATGATTATTTTTGCTAAATGAAATGTGATATGTTCATTGAACAGAAGTGGTCGGGTCGTTTATTTAACAGCGCTCCAGTGTTCAGGCTAACGGGCTATTTCACATATACAATTGGAGCGTATCATTTAAATGTTTTTAATAACATTGGCATTTTGTCCAAATTAAAAATGAGCTTGAAGAGGTTTATTTGTGAGTTTATTGTCTGAGGCTCTTGAATACTTGCCTTTATATCCTCTTCCTTATATTTTTCCTCTTTTATCTTATCATGGGTGGAACTTTGAATGTTGCTTCAGTGTTTTGGGGTTTATTGTAATGCAGTAAATAACGGTTGGCTTCATTATGGAGGATGAGAAAGATAACAATATTTTTCAAATCTTACAAAGGAAAAAAAAATTCATCAACTGACTCAAAGACTGTATGCAGTGATTAGATTTCTGATTTATGTTTCTGGTAAGTACTTCAGCTTTTTACCTCCACTCTATATATAAGCCAAACTTCTGTTGTGAAATTAGAAATATGTCCAAGAGATTATACAGAGATTATTTGTTGGCATCAAAAAGATCATACCATTCTTGAACCGTCCGATTCATTTTAATCAGAGCTTTATGTTTATCTTTACGAATTGGACTTATGTTCTTCGCGCTCATCGATCTATTAGTCAGCCCATCCACACAAACACACACAAAAATGGCGACTATTTTGTTTTGTGCTCAGATCACCTGGAGTGATGTAACTGCTTCTGGTGACAGACAGCAGAGGACAGTGGGCTGGCTGTCAGCCAGTCTCAGGTGGAGCTGCTGCTCAGACTCTCCAACACTCACACGGGGACAGGCACAGCACGGTCATGAAGATAACCTGAAGGTAAGCCTCTGCTCTGAAAAGAGGTTCCTCTTTCCTTTATTGCATTATCAAGGCAAGAGCTGAAAGAACAAAATCCTGAGCACAGGTGAATCATGCCATTTTACAAATCTGCCTTAGAATAAGACTCTACATATTTCAGTGGTAAAGTTCATGTTATTACAAGTTTGTCTGCTCAGGATCACAGTTTGGTGCCAAAGGCAGTACCTGTGGGAAGTCATGACGGACTTTTGGCTGATTTCTGTTCCACTGGACAAAACAAGTTTAACCAGTGTAGAGAAACTCAAGCGCACCATTGCCAAAACCAACCTGGCCTCCTCCTGCTGCAAGTTCTCCATTCCAGATCTTAAGGTGAGGATGTGCATCATCTGAATGATAAAAAAATGATATTGTGTCTCAGCGCTAACAAAAACAAAGAGTAAGTGGCGTGAGTGTGTGTTAGCTCTGTGTTTGTAGCAGTACAGGAGAGTGATGGTGTTTGGTGTCTTTCTCTGATGAAGAGGTAAAGGCTCAGGTTGCTCTCTACAGTTTGAGGCAAAATTTCCATCTGAATCGTTTCACTCAACGTGATCAATGAGCATCTTGTCTTCCAGGAAACGCATTTCCGTATCATCAAGAGTTCAGACATTAAGCAGCTTTAGATGTAGTGATTGTAAATGCAGGGTCTTATGAAGTCAGATTTATTAAACGCAGGTTGCAGTAACATTAACTGTGCTGTGTGTGCCGTGACCTCAGGTGGGAGTACTGGACAGTCTGCTCAGCGTGTCAGATGATCTTTCCAAACTCGACACGCTGGCTGAAAGGTAAAAAAGCTGAATGTGCTGCTCTCAATCTGTTCCTGCTGATTAATGAATACGTTTGTCTCATTAATCATCGCATGTTTGCATTTTCATGTGCGGCTTTGTTCCTCATTAAGACCCAATGATTCTGAGCTCCTGTGCAGTCTGTGCCATGATTAATTGATGGTCAGGGGCAGCTATCGGTTAGTTTTCCCTCCTGCTTTTAAATTCACTGCTGGTGCATTTGAGCTGACACAGTGCAGACTTTAAAGAGACAGTTCACCCTAAAGTAAAATGAGTATTAAAGGTAAGAACTTAAACACAAAGAACCCCATAAATCCAACTAAAGTTAAAAATTTACTTATGCGACTGAAAAACATAAGGAAACAAACTGGGAAAAGCAGGACATGGGCCAGAAAAACAGATTTAAATGCTAGGAAAAGTGAAAATCATAACAAAACTTTAATTATGACAGCAGATACTTTAGACTAGTTGCATTAACCTATAATTCACTACTAAGTAATTAATATCTTACTAGCGAAAACAGTAAGAATTTAATTATCATTTTTTATCTATTGAAAAGTAAAATCTCAAATATAAGAAATGCAGTTTGAGTTACATGGAAAACATAGAACATGGAAAAAAACAAAACAAAAAAACACAAAGAGGTGTGAATGTCAGTATTTTCAGGTGTTGAAATGTTGAATTGCACAATGAAAATGTAAGAAAGAACTTCATTAAGTAAAAAAGTAAGCATAACTTATGTTGCTGGTAAATGCAGCCATCTGCAACCCTGAAAACCCTGAGGATGGATGGATGGACAGACCCTGGTGATGTCATCCACTGAAGTCTTAATATGAAGCGTGGAGCCCAGACTTTTTTGATATCATAATTTTGCCATTTAATTAAACAGTTGCACAAGCATTGAAAGAATCTGGATGTGACTGTATGTGTATTACTGCTTGCAGTGAATTCATAACATAAATAACCCTCCTATCTGATTCAAATAATTACAGTTACGTACCAAATAAAGACTTTAAACTAGCCATTAAGCCCATCAATTGATCAGGAAAGTGTTTAGATGAGAGTTGTGGACTGTTTTCCTATAGACGTTTATACTACCAGAAGCCTTTTGGCAGCCAGTGGACTCAGGCCTTGCTGGCCATTTGAAAGAATGCAGGTGCGAGGCACTTCCGTTTTGGCTTAATTTTCCAGACCTGGAAACTACGGCCATCTATAATAGAATCTAACAGGAACACTTCTCTGTGACGGTCTGTTTCTGACTTACTGAAGAATAGAAATATGACGTATAGGTAAGCAAGCGGGTGTCCTTGAAACACCTTAGCAAGATTTATGAACAACTAAGCTAAGTGAGCAAAATCATTGCTAAAACCGAGCTCACTCGAGCAACTGGTACACTTGCGAAACTATATAAGAGGCTTGAAAACAGGCAACAGGCAAACCAAGGACAGAAAACAGTTACGTCACACTTGAGGAGCTCTGGACAGTGTAGAGATCTGGACAGAGACAAGTTAAGCAAGCAAGCAAGCAGAGCATCAGGGGAAGTCTTTAATGCAAAAAGATTTCTTTAGTTTATTCCTTACTTTTTCTTCAGTCTGAGATGTTTCTACATCAGCAGTTCATTGTGCAGGAACTTTATGCAAAACATATAAACACTGTGTAATGATGGTGTTTCTCCTGTCGCCTGGTCAGTGTGATCAAAAAAACATGCCAGTGTATGAAGGAGGTGCTGGAGTCTAGTGACAAAGTGCTGGAAAATGCTTTGGCCAATGGAGGTGAGTCACACACAAACACACACGCTGAGAGTGTTAATTATCTCATAGAGAAACTGGATACAGGCCACATACACACTGCTATTAAGACTAACAGCTACTGAAAAACTCCATTAAAGGCCTGATGCTTTTACTGTAGACTAATGCTTGCAGGCTGTAGGAGAGAACAACAGCAGACCAGGCTAACCAGCATGTCTGATTACTCTCCCCCCATCAGACCACAGCAAGAACCAGAGAGCAGCCCTGTCACCCCTGAAAGCTTACCTCAAGTCTCTGAGGGGTATTTTATCTGCTCTTTGAGCTGGAGTGCAGTTCTGTGTGACTCCTATTATAAACCACATCTGTAGTATCTGCTTGATGTTTTTTTTAAAGACATACCAAACCCTAGGTGTGTTTAAAGTTGTGTCATTTGGATACACAACTTGTGTTTTTTCCTCTCTCTCTTAGTTGACTTGATGAACTTCATCATCAAGTTTCAGTGGGACAAAGCAAAATATCCTACATCTCTAACTCTCTCCAGTCTGGCAGAAATCATCAACAAGGTACAAGCTCATAAAAAAGTGGGGATGATAATTAATGACATAAATATGACAGCAATTTATAACTAAACTCTTGTCAAGACACAAAAAACACAGCAAAGTCACAGTTCACATGCTAACATATTTACCTGTTAGCATACCTTCATATGCAGTTTTATATGACTGGGTGATGTTATAAAATGTTTACATTAGAAGTTACTTACATATTTTATTCATAATCTTAATGAACTGACTCACTTTTCTGATATTTGAAGCATAAAAGCAATCATTAGAAGTAAAATCCCAACACGAGGCTATAAATAAACCACAGCTAACGATCATCACAACAAACTCTTACATTTTCATATTTTCAAGCCAGAGTTACACTAGATATTGAACAACTCTTTACACAGTGTGTCACTTTACACATCCTACTAATGGCAGAGTAAACTAGATTGTACTACTAGATTGTAATTTCACTACATTCAGTTACATTTAAAATGAATAAAGTAGTGCTGTTAGCTAACACGTTAACGAGCTAACCACACTAATGCGTTGACGCCATGCAGCCCCACGCACAGGGCAATATGCGCTAACTCGCTAACGGAGACTTGCCATGTTAATGGGGTTATGGCGTTAAGGTCATTTTAACAAGATTAACGCTGACATCAGTAGAATAAAGATAAACTTGCAGGTTACATTGTCTTAAAATTGTTTCTGTATTTAGTAAACGCATTACATATTTGATGTGTGTGCTGTTAAAGCTAAATACTACGAGGGAGAAAAAATACTCCTAAAATTGAAAGTGAGCACTACTTTTACAGCTTCTCCTGTTTAAGCTCTGTCCACCAGAACAAGTCACTGCTGATTTTTGACATCACACTTAATTCAGACTTTGTTCCTCCACTTCAAAGTCTTCTGTTTTTAACCATTTCCAACACTTTATTCTAATTATAAACTCTGAAAAGACGTTTGGCAAAAACCTCGCATTTCAGGCTAGCTTTTCCAAAGGCTGAAAACAAATTCTGAAGCAGCTACATGATTCTAGTTCCCTCTCAGGTGGTAGAAACATGTTGCCTACCCAAGTTTTAACACCTGCATGTGTTTCAGGAAGTTTCGCAGGTGGAGGCAGAGTTAAAATCACGTTCTGCAGCGTACAACAGTGTGAAAGCGAGCTTGCAAAACCTCGAGCACAAACTAGAGTGAGAAACATTAGTTATATTAAATAGAAATAAATCCCTACATTATCTATAGATATGCATGTTTACATATCTACATACTAAAGTGGAATTTCTGTCTTTGCAGTGGCAATTTACAAACTTGCAGTCTGAATGATGTCGTGAGGAAAGAAGACCTGGTGGTCTCAGAGTACCTCACCACTCTGCTGGTAGTGGTGGCCCGGTCAGTGACACAACATGACTATGTTTTTCTGGGATAGTCTTAATATTAAAATGTTTGTTTCTGCATATTTTCTGGTCACAGAGGGAGCTACTTGCAATGGGAGAGGAGTTACGAGTCGTTGTCAAAATTTGTGGTTCCGCGGTCGAGCAGGTGAGCTGTCTTTATGCACTCTTGGCCATGAGACAAACAATTCTACTCGATCCAAGTACAAGTGCACCGGTAGCTGCTCTCAGCATCCAAAAGGTCAGGCTAAGTAACCGCAGGTGTTTCATTACCGGCAGAAAGTAAGAGTCTTTTGGCCTGGATCTGCAGCAGCGAAAAGAAAATGTCTTTTTTGACAAGTAAAATGTTAAAGTTGACATGAAAAAAATAACTTTGTCATAGCTGACGTGCAGGAAATAATCCAATTTCTATAAAAAAAATAATTTCATCCAAAACAGGAAGGGGAAATTGTGAGGGTCATACCAAGTGACACAATACCAATGACAAAAATTGTATATGCATAAATAAATCGCAAGTTAATGTTTCAACTCAATGTAGGGTGTCTTCCTATCACTTGTGCTCATATTTGTTAAAATTGTTACCAACATAGGACAATCTTGCCAGGAAGAGCCACTGGGGGGGCCAGCAAATTTTGGGAGGTGGCCAGTGCCCCCTTTGCCCCCCTTGGAGGCACCCCTGATCTAAGAAATCTACTTATCACTTGTAAGACACTCTTTTGTCAGTATAAGGCCTAGACAGCTAAATTGATAATTGTTTAACTTCTAGAAAATAACACTCCACATTCCATCCTAGTTTTTGTAACATTCATACACTTACTGGCCACTATATTAGGTACAACTTGTTGTACTGGTGTAGATTCAGCAAAATGCTGGAAACATTTCTCAGAGATTTTGGTCCATATTGACAGGACAGCATCACGCACATGCGTCAGATTTGTCAGCTAACATCCATGATGCAAAACCTCATTCCACTGCATCCCAAAGGTGCTCTATTTGATTGAGATCTGGTGACTGTGGAGGCCATTTGAGTACAGTGAACTCACTGTCATGCAAGCATTGGAAGCAGCCATCAGCAGATGGGTACACTGTGGTCATAAAGCAATGGACATGGTCAGCAACAGGTGTTCAGATGATACTCAGTTAGTTTGCCAAGATAATATCCCCCACACCATTACACCACCACCACAAGCCCGATGACAATGCAAGATGGATCCATGCTTTCATGTTGTTTATGCCAAATTCTGACCCTACTACTTGGTTTACCTAACAAAGTGGCCGATGAGTGTTTTTGTTACAGTGAACCTGATTTTGCCCATGTAAATCCTATCAACCTGCTATTACATTGTGATCAGTCTGTTAAGGACTCATGACAAATTCCATATAATTCAATTCAGCGTTATTTATATAGCGCCAACAGTTGCTTCAAGGCACTTTATATTGGCTTAATAAACACAGACTTGAAATGAACCTGCAGCAATAAGTTCAAATGCAAGTAAACACTACTTGACTTACTCCTTGTTGTCTTTTACCTTGTTGCTACATCTTTTCTATTGTTGTCTTATGTGACTGTCAGGAAGCTGTATGAGAACGGAGAGGGGGGAGTCTTCTCAGTGACACTTTTCAAAAGAGCTGTGTGTGAATTCAAAGCCAAAGCCCAGGAAAGCAAGTAAGCAGGATGGTGTGACAGAAAACACCCAATATAGTCAAATCTGTGTTGTCTGTTTGAATTACCAAAGTGTAGCCTCTGGTCCACACAGGTTCTTTGTGCGGGACTACAGCTTTGATCTGGAGGAGCAGAAACAGCGGGAGATTATGCAGCTTAGTTTTCACAAAAAGGAGCAATATGTGAGTCAAACATTACACACACTCTCTGAAGGTTTTTTTTTTAATGTTGCGGTGTTTTATTAATGCGCTTCTCTCTTTCACAGGGAATCTTTGTACGCTGGCTGAAGGTGAATTTCAGTGAAGTGTTTGTTGCCTGGATTCACTTGAAAGCATTGCGGGTGTTTGTGGAATCAGTCCTGAGGTCGGCACCTGATGACAGTGATGATTTTTTTTTCGTGAAGAAGGCTCGCGATTGATTCATGTGATGATATTGCCTTTCAGGTATGGGTTACCTGTGAATTATCAGGCTCTTCTACTGCAGACTGACAGGAAGCACTCGAAGAAACTCAAAGAAGAACTCGCTTCACTGTTTGTGCATCTGGACCCCACCGCCAGCATTACTGATGTAAGGAGCCATAGTGTTATAATGTTGTCATTATATTAATGTAAAGCACAGACATACAGAAGATGGATGCACCAACATTAGTTGGAAAAGCCACAAATTGAGGGATTTAACTGACGACATCTTGTTTGTTGAAGCTGGGAGGGACCATATATGGATGAAAGCATGAAGTTGTCATCTAATGCTGGCCTCGTCAGTTGTGTGTTACATTACAGGTTTATCACACAGACACAGATATCTGAAAATTAGTGGAAGGAATGATCTCGGCCATTTTGTACGGTATTCATTGTGTTGTCTTTTGCAAACATACCCATGATACTTTCCTTAGTAAAAGATGAAATGTCCACCTTAATGTTGTTCTTTAAAAACAACTGTTAACACTAATGGGAAACATGGTGTATCCAAGTGAAGCTTTTGTGTGACTCAGTAAATCAAACAGAGCCTCAAAATTATGAGTTTGGGTAGAGTTAGGCAGCAAGGTGGCTCACAACAACTGTGGCCAGGTTAAATCAGCTTATCAAATAGATACGTAGGAGAATCTGATCTGCACTGTGTTACAGATGAGCTCATTTGCTGGGAGTGCTCGACTTGATGGCCTGCCTGAACTAATCCTGATAAACTAAAAATGAGCTTTTTGCAGGTAGACATTATTTAAAATTTTCAAACCTTATTTTTTTTCAACAATATGCAATCTCATAACAGTTGAATTATTTGCTATTTGATTTGATTGGAAACTTGCTGTAGTTTACTTTTTAAATAAGAGTGTTTCTACAAAAGTAGCACAGACAGAAGTATGAGATTTCATTTTTGAACAGTGGAACATTTGTAGTGTACTCTTGGACCCCTTTTAACTGTTGTAACAGCTTTTACTTCTCTGGGTTTGACTGTAAGCACTTTCCTCAATGTGCACAGTTATTTTGCTGCTTGGTGATGTAAAATGTTAATTTTTACCTGAACCTTTTCATGTAGCCTGTTTGTTTTTTTTTTAGGTTAAAAATATTAAACATTTTGAAATCAAGACTCAAGCAACAACAAATAACTTAGAGCTAAATGTTTTCACAAATTAATTGTGCATGATGTGCATCTGCTGCAGGCAGGATTTGGATGCAAATGCAGAAACACAGGAGACAGGAATAAAGTCAAACACAGGTTTAATGCTGCACTCATACAAAATAGAAAATAAAAGCTGGACAGGAATGAGAATAACTAGTGAAACAGAGCAGGGCCACACACAGAACCATGAGGGAGAACAAAACGAAGACCCCACACAAATTGAAGGAATATGGATACAAGGTGATTAATGCAAACAAGAGACACCTGGGAGGACAGCTGAACCCAACTGAGGCAACGAGACAAGGGATGTGAAACTTAATACAAAGCACTAGAGACAAATAAGTAATAAAATAAAACAGGAAGTAACTAAACACGGGAACAAACTAAGAAATAAACTGAAGATATTTAACAACAGCAGAACCCAAATGACCAAAAAACAGCAAAAGACCCAAGAACATGACAGAATTATTGCAAATAGTTTATTGGGTAAAAATTGTATCGTTATATAAGACCAGTGACAGACCAACAAGTGAAGTGCTTTCCCAGATTGTTGATGTCTGAGTGAGGAAGAACCTGTCAGCAGTCAGCAGGAAATAACATATCTCTCAGTCAAGTTCACTCGTGACCTTCGAGACAACAGAGAGAAAAAGGAAATAATAAAAACATACAAACTCAAGCTGAATTTAGTGAAACACTGCTGCTGGTTCAGTGTGTGCGTGACTGTTTTCTGTGTCTGATCTGCAAACAGGTGAGCTGTGACATCCCAGGACTCTGTCAGCAGGAGTACTTCTCCTACATCTGCTTTCATATCAGCACCAACGTGTTGGACATCAGCTAGCTGTCAACAGCAAGACTGAAAGAGCAAGCACCCACAAGCTGTGGTTTGTTCCCATTCAGTCACTCACAGCCAGAAACATAAAGACCCCGATCGCTAAAATAAAACCGGAGAATATAAATATATTGTTTTCAACATTTCCCTTAAAGGAGAAAGATGTAAGGTGTAAATACAGGAAGGTGTAAATAATCCTTGGGTCGTCTTCACCACAAAGCAAGCTGCACGTGTCCTGTGTTTGTCATGTGCTGCACATGGAATTGTGGAAAACCTTAAAATATGTGTAATATCAGAGGGATTTTTTTTTTCAGGGATTCATTTTAAAACTATATGTACTGTAAATATTAATGTCGGTTTCAAACATTTTAGGTGAGCACATTATTTCTAGAAATCTTACAGCTTGCACAAATAAAATGGATTTCTTCATTCACCATTGCCTGTTATTCTGCAAGACAGCCTAGTACATTTAGAAATGCATTATCCAGAGAATGGATTCATGAATCTGTATAAAAACATCACTTGTGACCCAATTTAGATCAGAATGTTCATGTGTTGCAAGTCTCAAAATCTTAAAGTGGGGCCGTTCTGCTCATTTTCAACTCCATAGTGTTTTTCTGGATTCTGGAGATTATGTATCGGAATTTCAGGAGCGGGACCACGCCTCCAAACACGCTCCTTC